CCATAATAATTACCCTGATTAAAGCTGGACCCGTCTGTGAGCTCATGCTTTGGAGGGCTTATAGCCTGCCGCCGTGCCTGGAGCTCACGACAATCTCTGGTTAATGATTCCCCCTGCGCAGGGCTGGCTCACATCCGGACATTGAGTGAGTCTTTTCTGTGCTGCCGGGGTCAAGCCGTGTTCACGAGGCTAATCAAACAGGCTCTCCTCTTATGCCATAATAGGATCCTGATATGGTGACACGATTACAGAAGGACGTTTTGCATTAGCATTGAGGTTTATGTGTGGTTCACCTATGAGGTTCCCTTAGTTCCCTTCTCAAGTGCTAACAGTACTGATCGCTGATGAGATTGTGGCATTCCTTATCTTACAGAATGATTACAGGAGGCTAGAAAGAGCTCACTGTAAATTAGAACTTGAACATTAATTCAATTTTTAAAGCGATAATTTACAGTTTCCCCCAATTCAACATGTAGTCAATCAGCCAAGATGCGTTTGGTGTCTGAAGTTTGCATCTTTATTTTTGTGCTAGTGTTACAAGGCTAACAAGTGAGCAAGCGTGTGTTAACGAATTGCTTATTGGAGTCATGCAAACCACATGTCCAAAGCATCACACACTTGCCTGTTTCAAGTTAAGTAATTTCAAATAGACCTGCTTATGTGGTTTCTGACACTGTATGACAGCGTTATCTGTAAAAATACAGACAAAATTCTGGCTTCACGATGGTTGCCAGCAGTGTACTTTTGTCTGTTTTTATAGCTTGCAGGATCTCTCCCTGTTTGAGTGCATCAAACAAAGAGACTCTACTCCGTTTGCCGAGTTGAGAACAGTCAGAGCTCCAAGCTCCACCTCATCTTGGTGGTATTTTTCTCATCTTCCCCCTCCTCCCTTCCCCCTTCCTTTCTTTAAAAAGCAGACGGTGAGGGAGGGATGCCTGCAAACAATTTCTGAGCTTCAGGCTTTCTTAAAGTTATAACCCGCCCAGCCCCTACCAACCCCCACCCCCAACCCCCCCTGAACAAACCTCTTCTCTCCGCAGCTTACATATGCACACGTGCACACATGCATATGCATACACCCACATACAGTGTTTTCCTTCACCTTCATCTGCTTCTATCGTGTTATGTGATCTGTGCACCAAGCTGTCTGAAGAAGTGTTCCACTCACTTCTTAAAGAAGTCTTTGCTACCCAGCATGCTCTTCCAGACAGAGCTATCTGTTGCAGTTGACTACACACCCCTCCCGCAGACTCTCAACACACAAATAATAATGATGTCACTGTTGTAAAGCTTCCCTACAGCAGCCTGATCGAATAAAATTTTGTACTAAATGTTTTTCAGTTTCTCGTTCGAGCTTATTAATTGGGAATCTCACTGATTTTTTTTTTATTTCAGCATAATTCAGTCATTAAGATGTAAATAAAGTCATTTAGAGTGCTTTTATGGTAGGTGGTTCTCTGTAGAGAAACTTGCAAACTCAGATTTCTTTACAGTGGTGGTGAGTGGAAACGGGTCACGATGTCTACATCGGAATTTTCGCCACTTTATTTTGCTATCCAAAAAAACGGCAAACCTACATGCATCTTCTAAGGTTTTATGTGTAATGTTGATAATGGTAAAATAGTGGTAACTCTGGAAAATAAAAGTTTTCTTTGCCCTACAACAACTTGCATGTTCCTTTCCGCCATGAATCGATTTTTAAAATATGTTTCAGACCAAAATCTTATCTCAAAACTATCGGAAAACAATGTCTCCGGTATCAGGCACCTTATTTGTAACCATTTCTTGTAATGACGTTTTGTGAAGAAGCTTTTAAAGACGTTAAGCGCTTGTGGTCTGGCTACTGTCAGCATCACTGTGAACAATTCTGACTCTTTCTCTAGAATGAAAGCGTTTCACATAAAAACACTCTGAACGACTTTGTTTGCATCTTAACAGTTTAATTCTGCAGACATTATGGTGGAATTCCCCTTGAACAGTCAGAGAAAGTGCAGGTTGTAAACTTTCAGTCGATCTCATATTTGTCTTTGTAAGTAACTTTTACTAAAGTTATTGTTATCTATACAGTCTTTGCATAAAGGAACACCTTTACTATATTTTTGTCATTTTTTTTTGGTATTGAAAACGAATGGGGAAAAAAGCCAGAAGTGCTGACTCAAACCTGTGGATAGAGAATGTAATCAAATGTTAATATATTTCTCTGTCAGTAATTACTTTAATTAATTGTTTTAATACTACAGCAAAGAAGCAATTATAACTAGCCCCTCACAGGTATGCTGTTAAAAATGCGCTCATTTGCACTCATAAATTTCATAAGTGCACTATGATTGTGTTGTTCAGGCAGCGCTCAGTAGGCAAAGAGAGAGGACACCAGTGGGTGGGAAGGCCTCCGAGAACTGCCTGGTGAAAAGGTTACTGCAGATTTCCCAGACTCCTCTGGTGTCATGCTCCGCCTGCAACCATGACACCTAGCAGAGAGACGAGAGCTATCAATCAAACTTAAGGCCACCTGCCCACGCACACACACAAGGCACACATAGTAGATACACACTTATGCACTCACACACCTACATGTGGGTAACCTTTACGCTTGGGGTTCCCGAATGTTGTAAGAACTTTTTAAGTTCTCTGCATTTCTCAGCGTGTGTTTTTGCCGTGTGGTTGCTTCCACTGAAATGCAGGGAGCAAGCTGTTTTTGCATCACAGTGCAAATTTGAGAAACAACAAGCAAAAAGCGGATTTTGCTCCTTCACCTTTTTTTGCTGTTGTTCGCTTACATGTGGAGCACTTAAATAATAGTAAAACAGCTGTATGTTCCCTGTCTTCAGCATTTCCTCCTATTGTAGAACTGTGTTCCCTTTTAGGACTTACTGTCAACTAAAAGGGCTTCGTTTTGGTTTCAGAAGTGGGCGAGCAGTATGAGCTTCCTTATTGTACATCCATGTATCATAATGTAGTTCTACTTCAGCTGGATTTTTATCAAACAGTCCATGTTATAATTCTGATACCATCATCCTGATTGCAGTAGCTGAGCAGCAGTTCCCCTCCAACATCTAGCTAATTTTGAATATGCTAAATTTGCTAGCTTTTCAGAGCAACATGAAATCTCAAACTTCACCACAATTTGATTTTTTTTATATATATTTTTAAAACCACAGTACTTGAATATTGATAATATAGACAATGTAAAATAGTTATATTATATTTATATTATATTTAAAATTGCTTATAAAGTTATGGATGCAGTTGAATAGCTCAATGCATCACAAATTATTGATGCATTTTTACACCCCTGCCATTCTCGTAACATTAATGGTGAACACATTCTACGAGCGGACTAATTAGCTCTCAGACATGCGACCCAGTTGAATGTCTTTTGAGCTGAAGTGTCTCTCTTCCTTATTGCAGTCTGCTCTGCCTCATTAGCTGAGCACATGCTCATAGTGTTCTCGGAGCTCTTAGTGTTCTAGCGTTGCGTGCCGTGGTTAGGAGCAAAAGAGAAGTAGGCCTTTTATGAGCGTCAGTGAGCCAGCGCTGACATCACTGCAGTGGTTTGTGATTCATTCACATCAAAGCTGGCTGGGCTTCCCTCACTTGGCCACTATTCGAGTAGTCATCCTCTCCTCCAGGGGCTGGAAGCCTCTTCAGGTGGCTCAAAGTAGGAGTGCTGGAGAAGGGTGGCCTTTTGAGGGAGGGTTTCGTCTTGTTGCGGCATATTTGTCATCAGACAAGTATGCTGGGCTGGAGATGGAGCGGCGTTAGTAGAACAGGGGGTGATGTGGGTTGCTGAGGCTTGAAACTGTGGTAGAGGGTCTTCTGGAATAGAGTTAAGTCAGTGGTCCGCTTAATTTGACAGCCAGCACAGCCTCAGCTTTGTCCTCATATGGCCGGCAATCGGCTTGTGATTGGGACAGGTGTTTAGTCATGATTATGGAAAATTGCATTTTTGTGGGCCTATATGGCTACTGTTTGCACCGTCTACTACAGTACAGTGCAAAAGTCAGAGTCCACCCTTAATTTGTTTAATTTCCAGTTTCAACACCTATTAAGTATTAGTTATTCATTTTTCAGTGTTAGGGGAAAAAAGCAGAAAGCATCTAAATTATACTGAAGTCTCAACAACTAAATATATTTTGCAAGCACACCCTTTGCCATATAGCTTCCATTCTTTTCAGGAGACTTCCTTTCATTTTTCAGAGAATCTGTGGGGATATTTTTCCACACCTCCAAAGTTCAGTTGTAGAAGTTGGTTGCATTTTCCTCTTCTCACAATCCAAGTAATCCTAAACATTCAGTGACTTTTAAAGTCTGAGCGTTGTTTTTTTTTGTTTTGTTGTTTTTTAATCACGTTTTTTAACTTCTATTTTTTAACTTATTTTCTTTTGACTTCCCCCTTTCTTATGCAAGCGGACAATCTTAAATCTAGCCTGTTCAGAAATACCTCCAGAGAAAATGAAAACCTTATATTTAATGGACATTTGGCTGGAAATTAAATTTATTAAGGATGGTCTCTGACATTTGCCCAGTACTGACTAACCAACTAGGCAAACTCAAACTTTTTTTGATGCTAAACCTTCATCCTCAAGGTTCTCAGTGACACTGCACATAAAGAGGCATGTCATCTTACCATGGCAAATCCAATTAAGCTTTTTGTTTGACAACTTGTTTTTGTTTGATTGAATATTTGTTCATTAAAATTAAAAACATAATTGAATAACAACCCATACATACATTTTTGACCAGTTCACAGGAAAGATGAGCATGTGTTGTGGTCACTGAAACGCTCTAGTGCACAAACTTGCAAGCCACTGCCTTGAGTGAATCAGCTTTTGTAGAAATCTGTGGTTTTTAACAGTCTCATTCATTGTAACCAAACTTCTTTTTGGGTATTTCATTCATAGGTTTCTGTGGGAAGTGAGTGCTGTAGAAGTTTCTTAACGTGTGTCACAATCATAGAGAAGTTGCCTTCACATTCTTTTCCCCTCTCTTCCTGTTCCCAGGTCGGTGACTTTCTTTCGGGCCGCTCTCCTCTGACCCTCGCCCTCCGCGTGGGCGACCACATGATGTTCGTGCAGCTGCAGTTGGCTGCGCAAAACTCAGGCGTCCAGCAGTCCACCACCAGGAGTCCCTCAGGCACGGCTGAGACGCCTACGGAGCCCTGCAGGGGTGGAGCCAGGCATGTCCACATCCCACCCACGCCACATAGCAACCTGAGGGCGTCACATGGACATCACACTTACCCCACTCACTTCTCACCCCCCTCCAGCCCAACCCTTCCTGCTGGCTCTTCACCCCACCTCCACTCAGCTGCAGGTGCTCGCAGTCCTGTCCCGGGACAGTCCACCTACCCACAGGTAATACATACTGGAAAATGGCCCAGCTGGGATCAGTGCTTGCCTATTCTTATGTCCAGTTGTACAGGCTGTCATTGAACATAAAACAACATCATCTTTTTAATAACTGTAATTAACCCCTTAGTGATTAAAATGATTGATTGATCATGATTAATCACATTCTTTTGTGCAGTTACTTGCAATTAATCTCAATTGTTTTATTGGCTCAAATTTGACCCTAAAGAAAGATTTTTTTTTTTCCTATTAAAATAGTGATACATTTTGCTATATAAGTGGACAAAATAAAAACTTTATGAGAATGTGTTTATTACTTTCAGTAATTCAATAACATTTTTTTCATTATGTGACTGCTGGGTTCACAAGAACTGAATACGAAACTCATATGAACGTAGTTTCCAATTCCAGTCCAGTGGCTGTATGTCCCAGCCCCTGACTCGCAACTGTAGCCTTTCACTCTCATGCTGCTACGTTACATCCTGTTTTAAGAGGAACTGTGGCATTCCACTTTGATAGTTTCGCTCCGGCATGCACTGGCCAGTGTAGTCTGCATTACTGATGTTACTGATATTGCCACATCAGCTGTGTGTTTGGCATGTAAATCACAAAATTTACACTTGATGTACTGTGGTGATGAACAAATTCACGGCATGAAAGTAGCTAGAAATAACGAAACTTGCCTAAAAGCTGTATATGAAGAGAGAAATACAGCCTCACTTATAGCAACTGTTAACTATGACACCACTAATTATTAATCCTAAGACTTATTGTTCAGTAACTAGTATGACTTATTCACTAAGTACTAAGCTTTATTCAATTATTGCTATGAAACTAATATATTAATATATATGGTTATGAGAGAGCAGTTGATGCGTGAGCCACACATGGGCCTTTAGGGTTAAAGGTGTTAACTTTTTAATTGGAGCCAATATAAAAAAAATCTGTAGAGTTGTCAAATGACCTGAGTGTACATGCCCTTTTATTGTGTATAGTATTGTGGCACCTTCTCCCTGCTTTTCTTAACTAAGTTTCTCTTAGCCTTATCTGCTGTATTAAGCGATTTATTTCCAAAAGCAAAAACAGCAGTCTGTTTAGTTTCTGTATAGGTATGTTCAGAATGCTATAAAGAGCAAGATTCCCTCTAACAAGCTGACTGCATGGTTTTGCACCATGCATTGTTTTTGCTGTATAAAGATGTGTAATAAGTGTGCGTGTGTTTCTCAGGGTGAGTGCGGGACGCCGAGCTTCAGCAGCAGCTCCAGCTCGTGGCTGAGTCGGAAACCAGGCGCAGTGATAGAAAGCTTCGTTAACCACGCCCCTGGGGTCTTCTCAGGAACCTTCTCAGGTATCCTTCAGTGTGGACTTTGCTGAGTGTATATTGAGTATACTGAGTAACATACTTTAAAAATGACTTCTTATGTATTTTTGTAGCTACTATGAAACTATTATGTAATTATGAGAGTGAGTACTTAAAGTATTGACCCATGTGTAGGTGCAGTTTTAACCCCTTAAAGATATGACATTCAAATTGAAATAAGCTTTCCCCTTAACCCCAAATATAGTTGATGCTAAAAGAACTAAATTAAATACTAAACCCTGTTAAAATAACAGAAAAATTGAACCTAAAAATTTAAGACAACTTCACAGCTTTTTTGACTTAACTCAACTTCAATAGGAGTTCCCCAAAGTTAACTCAGAAATGCTCTAAAGAAAGTTGCCTTAAAGTTTTGTTTTCACTTTTTTTTTTTTTTTACAGTGTAGTAGCTAACTTAACCCTGAATGTTGTTCATTTTTTTAGATAACAAGTGTTTAGAGCTTCAGGAGTTAATATGTTTGATATTTTTCATAACTCTTTCTCTCTCCGTCTGCAGGCACGTTGCACCCTAACTGTCAGGACAGTAATGGACGTCCTCGCCGTGACATCAGCACCATCTTGCAGATCCTCAATGATCTCTTGAGTGCCACACGCCACTATCAGGGCACTCCACCTGCCCTTGCACAGCTCCGCTGCCACACACAGGGCCCCTCATCACCCCGGGCAACACCATCCGCTTCACCATCACCACCCGCTTCACCCTCTTCACCATCCACCATACGGCTCCCATCAGCTCCGACTTCACCGTCACCACCGTCACCTACCTCAGACAGAGCGTCTCTCAGCCATAGCCGCATCAGCAAAACCACCGGTGAGTTAGAGCCGGCAGTCACAGTAAAGGCCACCAGCCCACACACACTTACACCTAATACACACAGAGCACACATTTGCTCACACAGATAGGCTCAGGCAACCTTTGCATGTGGAATTCCCAGGAGGATTACACACAGGCTTGGTAGAAAGCTGGACGTGGTGTCATCTTTGTGTGTGTGTGTGTGTGTGTGTTTATATATGCGCGTACTTGCATACTTGGTGCTAAATGAATGTGTCTGTGTATGAGTGTGTCGGTGTGACGTAAGAGTTTTTTGTTTGAAAATGTTAGTCATAGCATAACCTGTACAATCATAACAGCTTTACAAGTATTTTACTCATTGAAAATCTGTCCGCAAATTCTGATTTTCTCAAATGTCACATGGCGCGACCAACGACAAAGCACTTTTATTGTTACATGCTCTTAAGAAACAGTTGGCAGGTTGTTGTATCATAAAGAAGACCCCATATCAGCTTCATGGTGCAATGCCAATGCCAGCAGCCCTTTTTTTGCACATATAAGATTTTATTTTTTTTTTTTCCATTGATCCATTTTAAAAATGAATTTATAGCAAAGTGAAACAAATATCAACACATTGAATAGATTTGTGCAGAAACACAAATGCACGTCATTCTTTTTAATTAGAATTTTTTAAAATGATCTTGAGCTTTATTTGTCATTGACCCATGTATGTCTGTGTACAGCTGTGTCTGTTTGTTTGAACATGTGCCTCTTTGTGCATTTGTACTGTATTTGTTTGGCAGTGAACGGATATGTGTGCCGTGGCAAATTAGCAGTAAGGAATGTTGTTTTAGTTTTGATTAGAAACATGATTAGTGTTAATGAGTTGATTGCTCTGTGCGTGGGAGTTTGACTCACATTACATATTAAATGGCCCTTCTGAATAGCTCCACTTTTAAGTTCTGCAGGCTTTTCTCCCACAATCCTCCACAGTTTTCCTGCTGTTTCCACTCTTCTACTCCAGATCTCTAACCTCATCTGTGAAACACGCACACACGCTCCCCGCCAGTGTGCTTTTGCCTTTATATGGAACAGTCTGCACAGACACACACACACACACATGCTCGCTGGCTGCTGACAGAAAGTGCACTGTGGGGGCGTTGACAGAAAAGAAGCAAGCACAAAGTGAAGTTTCATTCCTGAAGCGTTTTTGGGTTGACTTAGACGGGCTCTGTGGTCAACAATGCATTTAGCCTTAGACTTTGGTAGTGAGAGGAAGTATTTGACTCACACACACACATGCACACAGACAGAACGGTTAAAGGTAAGTGGACAGACTGACTTCAGTCAGGGCTCCACTGCTGTGTTTGCATTCCTCTCATTCACTCCACTGATTCAGCCTTCAGTGTCGCACACATACTTGTTTCTTATACAATATGAGGACATATGGTTATACATATATCTCGTATGTGCATTTATAACAATATGTCCCATATATACATTGTGTTTGAACAAAGCAATTGCTTTAGATAACATCATTAATAATGACATAATTAATAATAATATGTCATTCTACTTTGATCATTTGATGTCCTAAAAATGTACAAAACCAAGTACACACACACACAGAGCTCCCTGAATGGCCTGAGAGTGACCTAGTATTCACAGTGAGCTCTGTGCTTAATCTCTACAGATCACAACCATGCTGGTGAACATTAATCTGTTACACACACACACACACTCACACAGGAGACTCTCACGCACCTGAGCTTGCCTGTTTTCCAAGAATGAGTGTTTGTGAATTATTTAGAGGTCCTGGATCATAATAGCTGTCCGTATGGGCTCTCGGGGGCCAATAGGAGCCAGACATGTGGGTCAGAGTGTGTGCGTGTGTGTGTGTGCACAGTGGAAACATGCTGATGAAGCTTAAATGATGCATGAGGCAAGGCCGGCCGGAGGGCTGTGGAAAGAACAGACCTCCTTCTCTCTCCTCCAATGACCCGTGACCTGGGCCTGTGCCATGCCAGAGCTTTCTAGTGCCACTGGACGCTTTCTGACCCATCCAGTAGCAGCAGCCGCGGCTTGTTAATTTCTGAATCGGATGGAACGAGTCACATAAGATAACGTCTATTGTCTTCTCTTTTCCTGAGTGGTCTCTCAGCATGCAGTCAGATATCTGACTGTGTGTGTGCGTGTGTGTGCGTGTGTGTGTGTGCGTGTGTGTGCGTGTGTATAGAGTGTGTTATATATGTGTTCGTACAGGCATAAGTTTGGACACACTTATTGTAAGGTTTTAATGATCTATAAAGTTGAGTACCAAGTTACCCAAGTACCAAAATATAGATCTGTTTCCATAAAACAGTTTTTTAAATGTCACTCCCAAACCAGTTATTTTCAGCAGCCTATAAGGTCTCAGTACATGTGGAACTAAAATAAGTTATTTAGCGCTTTTTGCTAGGCCTGTCATGGTGATGAAAATTTAGCTGGCAATAAATTGCCATATAAATAATTACAATCAGACAAATGATTGTGAAAGATAAAAAGTGTGGATTTAGTAAGTAATTGTGGTTGGTTGAATTAATAGCAGTTAGGCAGTTGATAAGTCCCTGCATTATTCTAAATGCATTTCATAGTTTGGATGTCCACTAATACTCTAAATGTGGGAAGTAGTGAAAATAAGACTGGACTGATATTCTATGTGTGAAAGAGCAGGACTAGGAAAACTAAAACACTATGTATAATAGCAACATTCTGTACCTTTTCATTGCTGGGTGATAACAGGTGCTCGAGTGTCCCTTTTGTTTTCTTCTTTGTCACAATAAACATGTCTGATAATGAAAGTGAAGCTCAATGGGCAGAGCAGAGGAATTCCTCAATGCAAATACCGAAACTAAAGGCCGGCCTGATGTTGAAACTTTGCAAAACAAAAGCAGACAGGAGAAGAGAGACAAAGTTCATGTTTGGCTGGTTGCTGTGTTGTTTCTCACGTCCGTAGTTTTGGGTTACATAATATTTCCCGTACAACTGCATCTGTACCTGAAGTGTTACATAAAAGGCTGATTGCAGATCTAGACCACATTACATAATAACTGGGGATTCTTCATTGACAAAGCTTATTTTGCAGGTGTCTCTAGTTCTCCAAGTGTTTCTACTGAAAGCTGTGTGTCTTCCATGTTTGTGGTGTGATTAGCAGCACATAAGAGACAAGAGTTACTCATTTCGATTTCAAAAGAGACAACCACACTGACAAGCATAATGGCTGAGGCATAATGTTTTGCAAAGCTTACTGATACTACTTTTACAGATGTACATGCATGGAAGATTAAGCTGATTTGTGTTTGTATTGACTGCAGTATGTGGATTAAAGTGCAATATATGGATGAAAATGGTGTTTGTTTCCAGACATGGAGGCAAATTCCTAAAATATGTTAAAATACTCTACTGTTCCAAAGTTTGAAATGATCATCATATCATATTAATAATCTTATATACAATGTTAATAAAACTATTTACTACGAAGATTTACAGTTGTATGCAAAATTTTGAACACCACTATTTAAAGTTAACTTACTTTCACTCAGAAAATCAATAAAACTTGGCCAACAAAACTCAGTCTACACACATTAAAATGTCTTAAGTTTTTTTACAGCTCAAATTTCAAACATTCATCAGCCACTGCGTTGGTTTAACATAATTGAAAACATAAATTCCATATTTTTAATGAACTTTTTAACTGTTGTGTCTAAAGTACCCTGAATTTGCTTCTGATTCACAATAACTGAAGTGTTTTCTCTCTCTCTCTCCTGCAGGTGAGCCCTCCAGGCAGACAGAGAATAAGGCCACACGCTGTAAAGTGGAGCGCCTCCAGCTTCTCCTGCAGCAGCGGAGGCTTCGGCGGCGGGCGAGGCGGGAGCCCCGCGGGCCATACCACTGGTTGGCCAACCGCAAAGCGGCCCGCAGCCACAGCAACAGCAGCCTATCCAGCGAAGGCTCTCTGGACCTGGACTACGACGAGGCACTCTGGAAGCCCGACGTTCAGACCGACATGGGCTCCGAGTTCGTCCTGGCATGAGAGAGAAGGAGAAGAATGCTTGACCAGCGAAGAAAGGCTGCGGTACGCAAGCGAAAGAGCAAGGGACAAAAAGAGGAACACAGCTGAAAAAGAAAAGACGACGTAGTGTTTGCAGACTGAAGACCAAGAAGTTCTTCTGCGCCTCAGTGGTGTAGCATCATATTGGAATGGGATGTGAGACTGTGGTGGTTTGGTCATTCAGTCTGGACAACCAAGACACACAAAATGTCTGAATTGAAAGAGAACTCTTGCTCTTTTACGGTTGATGAGGTGTACTTAAGGAACATCTTTCGGGACGTTTTATAGACCGGATGCGTTCTGAACTTTATTGGAACATTCAGTGGAACTGTATTTTCTCGTTGGAAACCCATGTTTTGTTCTTGAAAGTCCATTTTCTGTCATTGGGTCCCTTTGTTTTGTATTGGGATCCCATAAATTCTCTTACTGGGCATTGATAATTTCACTCAACATGGTGGTGGTTTTAGTTGCTGTTGTTACAAAATGCGTCATGTAGCATTACAAAGCAAGAATTCAGGTTTTCGTCTCCAGTTTCTAACATTTTGCACACTCCTGCATTTTTATCGACTCGTGAGCATTAAGGTTTTTTTCCTTTTTTTTCAATACTCAGCTTGAGAAAACTTGAGAGAAATTGAACTGACTTATTCATGCGGTTTCATTGTCGTCAACCTGCAAACTAAAAGAGCATTTAATAACGAAAAAGACACTTTCCTTTCGTGTTTTTTATTTATAAGTGGAGCCACCATTCTACACTTTTTTTTTCAAAATCGTGTGCACATGTCGTAAAACTGTATCTGCTGGTTAAAGTATTAAGGTGATATTACAGTGCCTCCGTTTACCTTTTACTGTATTGAAGCGTCAGATAACACAGTCTGAATTTTTTTTTCTTTTTTTTGCTGCTACAAAGGATGATGAACCAAGGAGAGTCTTGTCTGGCCATTCATCTCATTATAACTATGACCTACTTCTGCAGGAATGCAGCAGATGCATGCTTCTCTTATGTACATGAGTGGGTCACAGTTTAGCTCCGTAGAACCATTTTACAGTCAGTTTGAGAAATGACCATTTTAGCCGGATTTTTTGGGTATCATGTCATTTTTTTCTTCCCCACTGTTTCATCTGATGTTGCACCATATGAAGCCTAGAAATGAAGATGTCATTAACATTTGTTCTCTTTGGCCCATAGCCATGTCAACATTTGTATGGCCTAGGAAAGACTGGGAAAATGATGTTAGAAAAAGACACTCGTCTTTATCATAGGTGGATGGACCTTGTGTACAGTGGCCTTACCTGTCTTTAAAATGGTGAAAAGTACAGGCACTGGAGACTTTCTATGGATCCTTTATGTTTATCATGCTTTTTGTGTCCAGGCTGTCTATCACTGCGAGGATATGACAGCTATGTCCCGTGCTAGAGAATGCATTTTTGCGCTTCAACAACATGACTGAGATCAAGGGACGCTGTCTTTATGTACACAAGAGCCTGTGTGTCTGTCTCCTTTTGTTGCAAGACGGCCTACAAAGACCTTCTCAGCTGAGGAAAAAAATGTTAAAAGAGAGCGCTTGCTGTATTTTTTAGATCATGATGTAACGTCTGTCCTCCGTCTGAGCTTTTGTCTACTGTTCATCCTGTCTTTTCTCAATGTTACTTGTTTAAAGGTTTCAAATTTTTGACTCTCCGCAATTAAACTAAACATTAGAAATATATACCTGAACGGCACATAAAAGGTCCAATTGAACAGTGTCACCCTATTAGTTTATTGGAGCTGTCATAACAAATTCTCATATCTCAGTAATGGTAACTTTATAGGAGATGGAAAAGTTCAATGTACATTAATGTTACAAGTTTATTTCAAGTAAATTTAAGTTGATATGATGGCGACAATAAACCATTACAACAGGCACTTCTGTTCCTGAACCAGGTCCCCAAAATGCTCCCAGCCGAATGCATGTAATTTATTAGAAAGAGGCTGAATTGATCATATAAGTAGTTGATAAGAAAACATATGCATTTTGCTTTTAAAGTTGTGATTGTGTGATGCCAGTTTTGGTTCATGCTGCATTTTCTGTTGCCTGTACTGTCTTGCAGTCTCACAGCAGGAGGTGAGGAGTCTCAGCTCATGGTCTTGCGCTAGGCCAGTGTAGCACGTTTTTTATAACTGTTTTAATTTATAAAGCCGATCTGGTAACTGTGAAGAAACTGTATTTGACATTGCTTTTCTCTTTTGTGTTTTTCCCTTCTCTTTTTTGTGTAAAATTAAAGCTGGTATTGTAGGGGGGGGGGCAACTGGGGGGGGCAACTTTTTTGTTGTTTTTCTTTTTTGTTCATAAGCAATACATTTCAGTGTGGCTTGCTGTAGAACTCTTTTTTTCCTTTTTAGGTAATAAATTTAAGACAGAATACAATTTCAGTCTCTAGTATTTTTTATGACCTATTGATAGAATGTTAATGCAATTTCAAAGTGTGAACCTGGATAACATCAAATAAAACTGAATAACAGTAATGTGGTTTGATCTGGTAAAAAATCACTGGTTCTTGTGTAGCTTTGAAGGTGAATTTCACCAATTCTTTTTTCCAAAATGTCTGCAAGGTGAGATGGTTAAGATATAAACAAAGTCATTGAGTGGTTTGATGTGAAATGCTCTATAGAAATTTACAGTCAAAATAATTCACAGTGAGGATGTCTGAGGAGTTTAATGCCTCTAAAAGCTCTTTCACAGAATGCTATTACCCAAAATGGTAACAAATGCATTGCACAATGGCTGAGACTTAGATAGTTTTGCAATAATCTTTTGTCTAGCTTCAGCTCTCTGCGATATGCTTATGACTACTGTCTTCAATGGCCAACCAGACATCTGACGTGTTTGTTTCTCAAAGCTTCCTCACAGAAAGTTATTACATGAAGGTTATGAATATGCTGCCTAAACATTGTTTACGAATAGTGTCTAGAAAATGTTGGCTCCATTTTTAAACACATTCATGATGAAGAGGCACATGCAGGGTGTTGTAGGGGTGGGCGATATGGCACACAATATTGTCTCGATACTTAAAGACATTTTCATGATATACGATGTGGGTCACAATGTTTAGTTTTTCTGAAATTTAATAAGTTGTGACAGATGAAATCGAACCTGTACTGCTACATATAAATAAAATACTACACTTATAATAATAAACCTACAACTATAGCAATTTTTATTCAGTATTTTACAAACTGCACTAAATCCAGTTAAACAGGACTAACTATGCTCACTATGCAATGAAATGTAGTCAATGTACTGACGACATCCATGATATGCACAGAAAATGTATTTATTTATACACAATTTATCACAATAATGATAAAATATTGTCATATTGCCCACCCATGGGGTGTTGTATAGCAAAACAGTACCTAAAGAAACGTTAGTTCTATCAGATTTACCACTATTTTACCATTAACAACATTACATATGAAACTCAGAAAACACATAGGTTCACTGCTTATTTTACATAGTTAATAAAATGGCTATTTTTATACAGATATTGTGACCCCTGGTTCCTATCACCACCACTGTAAAGTAAAAAAACTGGAATTCCCCTTTTAGCGGTTTTGTGCTAATAGCATCCCTTGTTGACTTTGGTATTTCGATCTGCTCATCATGCACACAGTCACAGGTGTGTATTTTGGCCGTTGATATCACTCGCACACCAGCAGGTGTGTGTTTGTCGGTTGCAGGTTTAGTTAGTCTCTGCGGCTGCTTGTGGCTTTGCATTGCCGTGACATCTCAATGCTGTGTGTGTTAAAAGAGAAATGAAAACTGAGTCGCTAACTGCTTGTCTCTGAAAACGCTTCCAGATTACCACAGACTTTTACCAAGAGAATTACTACAACAGACCAAACACACACCCTGTGTCGTAACACAGGAAAACACGTTAGCACAGTTTACTGCAAGTCCACCACTTTCTAAAGGATTCCAGACCTCTGTTCGTCACGGCTGCTCAACTTAGCTAAGTTAGCAAGATAAATGACATAAGTTGTCTTTTAAAGATAAAACTAGAGGCTAAAGTTTGAGACGAGGGGGATGTAATCATGGTTGATAGATTAGAAAATTAAGTGACAAAGCATGAAACATGAAATGAAACAGTATTTAGCAGAGTTAGCTCACTAATGTAGCAAGCTAGCAGCTAGGAAAAGCAATAAGCTTCACCAAACTTAAACTGAATGTAATCGTTTCATAATTTAACACCACAAACCATAATTGGGGACTGAAAGTACTGGATTTCTCTACATACAATGCAAATTTTAAGCCTTTTATATGTGGTTTTAGATTAGAATGCAGTTGTCATTTGCATTCACCATTACATTCAGAGCTCTCTCATAAATTTTTGATGGTAAAACTTTGAATGTGGCTTCAACCCTTGTGTGGTGTTCATGTTCTTGTTACGCAGTGGTCTGGTGGACCCACCACATTATTGTTTTTTTTAAATCAATACAGCCATAACAGTTTATGTAAAAATACCAGATGTTTAAAATATCAGAAGTAGCCAGTGTAAGGCTCTCCTTTAGCAGCTGTAGCCAGTCAGCAGCCTGTCCATGTTGTCCACACACACACACACATATACAAACACATGTACACAGACACACACACACTAACAGCAGGCCATGTAGGAGGAGAACAGAGTGAAGGGACACAGCACCTCCACACTTTTATTCCCCATGAGTTCACCCAACACCATATGTGTAATATAAATGTGTAGGGGGTGAACAGTGTGAATTAACTGAAAATGTGTTATTTTATATGTTCTTCACAGGAAAAGACAAAATCTTGTCTCCGAACTGTTAAAAGACAAAGTCTTATGGATCAGGCAGCATATTCATAACAATTTCATGTACTAACTTTCTGTAAAGGACCTTTCAGAGGCATTAAACACTTTTTAGATTTATGATTCCCATCACCACCACTGTGAACAGTTCTGACTCTGTAAGAATGTCACATTGTTTACATCTTAACCGTTTAATCATGCCAAAAGTTTGTAAAATCCTCATTTAGTATCCAATTTGATGTAAACATATTTCCTCAGTCCCTCAATCAATTTTGCTTCCCCCATTGTGACCAGCACATCTCAGCTTGTTCAAGTCCAAGTAGGTGTTTTTCTGAAAAGCGCCAGGCATCTCCAATTAAGACGGTCGACAGTTGGGGGTGTAATTATGGGGGTGTAATTGTGTGCTGTGGGGGATCCTAGGAGACGTCTGCGTAATCAATAGCCTGAGATGCGCTTTATAATGACTGCATTAGCCTAGAACACCGGAGGGTCACCACCCACCATCGATGTGTTTATCACGTAGCAATGAACAAGTGAACAAAGCTGCAGCTTTTCTGCTCATAAAGCACGCCACTCGCTTTATCTGCAGGGACAATTCACAGTCTGGGTATAATGAAGCAATTCAGCGCTGCTGCAGTTTACCATTGCAATGAGCTGAGCTTGTGTTTCGTGCTATAAGTGACCACTCTTATCAGCAAGTGTTAATGACAAAGACTGACCCTGTTGAAGTGGTCTGCTACATAATTGACTTTTTTTCTGCTGTGGAAATGTGTTTACATGGACGTAAGTGATGCAGTTAAAGCTTTCTCAGCTATAAACCCTTCCACTCCAGCTACACTGATAGGATTGAAACAGACCATCTTTGATGTAATGGCTTGACCTCAATACTGCTTTGGATTAAGGGTGGGCAATATGGCAAAAATAGAACTTCACAATACTTGAATACATGTTCACAATATATTGTAACTGTGAGATCAAAACCTCATCATTTTTTGCACCATTTTAAACTGTCAGCTGCCCTTTCCATTGAGAAAAAAAATCTGAGTAATGGGCAAATAGAAATGGTCCAAAATAACCCAAAAAAGGCTCTTAAAGAGCTGTTTTAGTGTTTTTCCTACTGGACAGTAGAATTAAATGGTAGCTTGTCTTGATTTCATATGCAAATTGGGTAACGCTTCACTGTAGGGCATTCATAAGGCTACATAACACCTAAATAAGCCATTCATGATAAGTGAAATAGACCTACATAAACATGTATAACCATTTATTCCAATAGACATTATTTGTCACAAAGATTGCTTTTACCAACTTTGGTAAGATGACATTTTTTTTCTGATGTTAGGTTGTAATGACTCATTCTTGGGTGAAAAGACATACTCCTTCTAGCTCAGTGTATGTCACAGTGACATAGTGCTAATAATATGATATACACTATGTGGCCAAAATGTGAACACCTGACCATCACATTTTTATGAGTTTGCTGGACATCCCATTCCACAACCTTGGGTATTAATATGGAGTTGGCCCCCTTTTTGCAGCTATAACATCCTCCACTCATCTAGGGAGGCTTGCCACAACATTTTGGAGTCTGTCTGAGGGAATTTGTGCCCATTCAGTCAAAACAGCATTTGTGAGGTCAAACACTGATGTTGGACAAGAAGTCCTGGCTAATGAAACTGTCTAAAATGTCTTTGTGTGCTGTAGCCTTCACCTGGAACTAAACACAAACTCTGAAAACCAGCACCAGACCTGACCGTTACCCCCCCTCCACCAAACTTTGCTGTTGGCACTATGCTTTTTGGTATGCAGTGTTCTCCTGGCATTTATTAAAAACAGATTTGTCCATCAGGCTGACATGTGATTCAACACTCCAGAGAACGTGTTTTCAGTGCTCCAGAGTCCAGTGGTGGCCTGTTTTACACCACTCCAGCAGACGGTTGGCATTGCACATAGTGATATTAGGCTTGTGCGCAGCTGCACAGCTGTGGAAACCCTTTTCATGGAGCTCTCATCACACTCAATTTTATTCCTCATGTAATTTGATCTAACTGATTAATTGATGCAAACTTCGAGCTGACTCCTTGACAACTGTGACCAAGAGCAAACTCCTATTTTTACCTTTCTAAAACATTTATGAAAAGGCATATAGCTTGTGTTAGGGGGCTGTCTAAGGAGTGAAATTCATGGGATCTTACAACTGGGAAAAATTTTGATTAAATAGGACATGCAGAACATTTCTTCTGAAAAATTACCATTTTGCAGATATGAGTTTTTGTTCTGACAGATTTGTGAACAAGTTGGAATGGACAAAAGACACCAGCAAGTCCTAGCACTTTTAAAAGGGATACAGTTATCTTTGTCGCTGTGTTTATGTGTAATTCAAATATTTAAGAAGGAACAGGAGGAAAAATCAAACAATTAGGAAAAATAAATTAACAAAATATGACGATGTCATAATGGGCTGGCA